ATATCTTTTACAGCGTTTTTTGGCCGCTGCAAAAGCTCTTTTTTGGTGTAGTGATTGCTTGTTTTCCACGCCTCTTGTATCCGCTTCTTGGTCAAAAACTCGATCACCAAGGAAGAAGTTTGATGTTTTACAATCCAAGAACTCAATTTGAGATGTATATTTTATCAATATTAAGTCACAACCCTTGTGTATTTTGTGTGTATTATTCTACACGAATTTTGCATGATCTCTCATTATTTTGATTGTAGTGGAAGTTATGTAAGAGTTGTGAGTGGTGGGATGTTGAATTTTAAACTTAAAAGCCAACTCCTCCTTAAAAAATCATTTCATGCAAATCTGGTTGGGTCATCCCACATGGACGACCCATTTTAACCAACATTCATAACGCATGTTGTACCAATTAGAATCAGTTTACTTACTAATGAAAGCTGGAGAAAAGAGGAATCGAATGTCCATTTTCTTTATTTTTTATTTAAATCGCAATCAAATTTTAGGTTAATTGAAAGAGATGAGAAACTAGGAGAAACTGGTCGTACTGTTAACAATTTGTTTAATTAATGAACCCCGCTACACAAACAGGCCTCGGTGACAGGCCTCGGCGACCGACTACTCACATAGGAGGGAGGGCCCACACATTTTGGAAATATTTTATACACGCGGGTCCCCTGCACAGTGAGGGGTCGGTCACCATTCCCTATCCCCAATCCCTGGCAGAGGAGCAAAGTTCTTAATTAATTGGTGCATTGAAATTGGAGCTAATAGATAATTTTTGTCCTAGATCTATTCACGAACCTGAGACATTTAATGGATCATACGTGTTAATCAAAATGGAAAAAGAACCATCATTTGGCCTATTGAATAAGAAAATATAGAGGAAAGAACAAGTCATCTCTTGACCTTTTTATACAAGCTTGAGAACACGCGATGTTGAAGAAGGAAACACAAAAGCTCGAGGACAAGAGGGATGACCCGTCTCCACTATATTCCACGTTGGTGAAAACCATCGTTAAACACATGTGGGTCAATTACTCAATTACCATAACTAAAAAAAAAAAGTCTACCGAAACGTTGAAAAAACGCTGCAAAAGGATATACTGCAATGTTTAAAAAAGCTGCAAAAGAGTCTATCACAACGTTTAATAAACGCTGCAAAATAATTTTTCGCAACGGTGAATAAAAGCTGCAAAAAGTCTTCCCTCATCGACAACATCGACTTCCGCAACACTTGGAAAAACACTGTAAAATATCTTTTACAGCGTTTTTTGGCCGCTGCAAAAGCTCTTTTTTGGTGTAGTGATTGCTTGTTTTCCACGCCTCTTGTATCCGCTTCTTGGTCAAAAACTCGATCACCAAGGAAGAAGTTTGATGTTTTACAATCCAAGAACTCAATTTGAGATGTATATTTTATCAATATTAAGTCACAACCCTTGTGTATTTTGTGTGTATTATTCTACACGAATTTTGCATGATCTCTCATTATTTTGATTGTAGTGGAAGTTATGTAAGAGTTGTGTGTGGTGGGATGTTGAATTTTAAACTTAAAAGCCAACTCCTCCTTAAAAAATCATTTCATGCAAATCTGGTTGGGTCATCCCACATGGACGACCCATTTTAACCAACATTCATAACGTATGTTGTACCAATTAGAATCAATGTACTTACTAATGAAAGCTGGAGAAAAGAGGAATCGAATGTTCGTTTTCTTTATTTTTTATTTAAATCGCAATCAAATTTTAGGTTAATTGAAAGAGATGAGAAACTGGTCGTACTGTTAACAATTTGTTTAATTAATTGGAGCATTGAAATTGGAGCTAATAGATAATTTTTGTACTAGATCTATTCACGAACCTGAGACATTTAATGGATCATACGCGTTAATCAAAATGGAAAAAGAGCCATCATTTGGCCTATTGAATAAGAAAATACAGAGGAAAGAACAAGCCAGCTCTTGACCTTTTTATACAAGCTCGAGAACACGCGATGTTGAAGAAGGAAACACAAAAGCTCGAGGACAAGAGGTATGACCCGTCTCCACTATATTCCACGTTGGTGAAAACCATCGTTAAACACACGTGGGTAAATGATTAAAGTATGACTCCAAAATCAATGAATAAAAAACATATAATCTAGTGAATAGAACGTGAACACTCAATCCAATTAACATTTACCTTGAGAAAAAAATATTTCTTAAAGAAGTCTTTAAATTAACAAAAATTATAATTAATTAGTGTCCTCTAATTTGGTCACTACCTGCCCACCTTTAGGACCACCCTTATCAATAATGACATTTACAATTTAAGAGGGGGTGGGGGGCTTGAGTCCCCTTCGTTTTGAAAAATTTATTTTGAAATAGTAGATTAATGGATAATGTGCGGTTAAAAAATAAGGAAAAAATTTAAAAAATGGAAATCAACACAAAGTCTAAATAAGACAAACTAGAGTGAAACAGAAAATGAAGAGACAAATACATAATTAGGAATGAAAAAAGAAAGCTAGAGATTTATGTAGTTACATTGTTAAGTATCCAAAACTTTCCCCCTTTGATGTAGTTAGAAGGGTAAATTCAACAAAACATGTTTCACATCGAAATCGAAAATCAACTGATGAACAATCAATGATTCAATTGAATACCAAGACTATATTGAAATCAAGATCTCGTACAATTGCAATTGAATACCGATGATTGATGTTGATCAACACAAAGTCGTAAATTTTCGTACTGACTCTTGGCCCAAAAAAATTGAAAAATCTCTCTAAGCCCTTGTTTAGCATCCATTCAAATTTTAATACATTCTTCTCTATCTTCTTTTCAACCACACATTCTCCAATAAAATAATATTACATATAAATCAAAAACTTTTTTTTAACCACACATTCTTTCAAAAAGTACTACTCCAAAATACGTTATTTCCAAAAAAAAATCTCATTATTCAATCATAAATTTTAATCCAACAAAATCCATATGCTGCTGCATAAAAACCTAAAAAGAAAGTTTAAATGAAATTGCTTCCCTGGTCCCTCAACTCCTAAAGAAATATTGATGAGGTCATAATAAAATAAACACTACAATTAAATCTGAAGTACTAAAAAAAAAAAAGCCCCATGTGTTTTAAGTCTTGTACTTGCTACTTTGCATTTACACCATATTTCTTGGCGTGGGGGGCGGGGTATTCATCCTACACAAGAAGGCAGCCATGTGCTAATGGCTCTCAGCGAATGTTAAATCATCACTATTACACCAAAGTTTAGGTAGTCACTAAGCCTTATTTGACTCCATTAAAATTATAATTCATTTTTCTCTCTCTTCTTATCAACCACACATTATCCAATAAAATAATATTGTACACAAACTCAAAGATTTTTCTTTTTATTTTTTTAATTACACATTCTTCAAAAAAATACTATTTCAAAAATTATAACCCCAAATAATGGGGCCCAAAAGGGGGTGCACACAACAACACAAACAAGCTAATCCCGCATCACTTTAGAAGTTGTTTATTGGCAAATGCGCGGGTTGGAACGTAATAATTAGGAAAGTCACCAAGACAAACACGACCACCAATTTTCCTTTCTGATTCTTAATGTTCACATGGAACAACTGCTGCAGCTTATATATAGTTGGCTCGTTAATAATGGGGATGTTAACAACCCAACAACTCAGTTCAATTTCACCTAACTATACATAACTCTGCTTCTGGTTCTCAATAATGGGAAAGCAAATAGTCCATATACAAATTTTTGTAGTGCGTTTGTGTGTCAGCTTTAAAGAAGGTGGAAAGACTTTGACTTGGATTTTGATAAAAATTGATAGGATACGAGGGTGAAAAATTGTAGATCCCGTGAAATATACGAAATAGAGGTTATCTTTCATGAAACTGCTATAGTACAATTGTTAAGATTTATTTCCAATATATGCTCGTGCTTGTATACATGAGGTATTTTGATATACTGTACACGATTTGCAATAATATAAAGCTTTATTTCAAATATATATGCTCGTACTTTGTTTTCCTAATCTATCCAATATTTCAGGTCAAACGTGTGATGAAAATTTTAAGAAATATGTAAGGACAGTACGTCATATCAAATCATTAGATCTCATCGTTCTAAACTCATTAATTCTTTAAAAAAATAAATTACAATTATTTTCTAAATACCAAGCTTATTTGGCCCCCCTAAAAGTTACTTCTTTCTATCTTAAGTTGTATGCGAGTACTTACTGCCCAAACAAGTCAAAGGAAGTAACTCATAGGGTGCTGGACATGCCAACTAATATTAGAAAACACGTTTGACAAATTAGTAGCTTAGAATTCTGCATTTCTATACAAGAAAAACACACATTGAACAAAACCAAACCAAACGAAACAGATTTAATTAAAGTTTTCCAATAGGATACAAATTAGAGGGCTCAACGGAAGTATCATGCAGGCTTTTTTGA